AGCCGATGGTCTAGAACTTGCCCCGAATGTTTGTTGAGGCGAAATCTTAGGTGAAATTTGGCTTGAGAAGTGATTGTAGGCTCTCCTTGATCCAAAATGCTAAGATTGAACAATTCCATGACCTACCAATGAAATGATCCCTAGTTAACCCTTTTGAGCCTTGAACCTTCTTCTTTCAAGCACCAAAGCTACAAGCCTATACCCATTCTTAATGATACCCTCGCTTGGCACCCAAATATTCCCTTGAGTAGATGGCAAATATCTAAGTTTGGGGGGAGACAAGAAAGGAAACAATGTGGTAAAAGGTACAAAAGCAAAAAGAAAAGAAAGGTAATGAAAAAAAAGAAAGAAAAGATAAGACAAAAAGAAAGACCTAATTGAATAAGATCAAAAAGGGGATTCAAAGAAAACAAAAGCGAAAAAGGGTGTGGAAAAAGTAGAAAAAGGAGAAATGTGTTGAATTGCATAAGAAAGGGTGACAATGTGTCTCTCTAACCCCTTGAAAAAGAAGTGAATACCCAAATGAGTCAACAAAGTGTGCCAAAATGAATCAAAAGAAGTGCTTAAGGGAAGATTGAACTCACTTGAACAAAAATATGTCCTACCCTTACCCAAAAGCCTTCACAATGACTCCACAAAAGCCCTACATGATTTTGAGTTGAAGGGAACCTACATTAGTGGATACTTACATAAGGGGCAAGCATATGGTACTTAGAGCCAGACTTGTGGCCTCGTCCTTGAGAGAGATGAGTTAAAATCCATCAACCTTGGTTTGTGTGTCAATACTTTAAAAGGTGAGGTTCACTTAGGAAGAGTTGAGGATGTGTGAGTTTGGGTTCCACAATGGCCAAAGTAATTGAGAAAAGTTCTTTGATGAAATGTGTCAATTCTTGATGCTCTTGTGTCACACTTGATCCACAAGTTTTCAAAGTTTAAATGTGTTAATGATGCATTCGCATTGAGGGCAATTGTTAGTCCCAATTGATGCTTGTTGAGGTTACTTTAGGATAAGCTGAAATTGCTTGGATGTTGCCTTTGAGGGTTGGGTCTTGTTTTGTTTGTTTGAGGACAAACAAAGGTTTAAGTTTGGGAGACTTGATAAGTAGGATTTTAACATGTTTTATACCCATACTTGCCTGCGCTTTGAGTGTAATTTGCTACAAAATAGTCCCAAAATGATTACAGATTGCGCTTGATTGCAGGTTTGAGCTATAAAGTGACAAATCGTCAAAGATCGGCTCAAATCGGAGTGAAACCTGCTCCAGTGTCAAAGATCATTAAAGTAAGGACATTCAGAACTTGGTGCGGACCGCACCATCTTGTCATGCGGCCGCACCATAGGAGTTCAGAGACTGTGAAACTACTAGTCAAGCTCATGCGGCCGCGTCCACTTCATACGGCCGCACAATCTTGCTATGCGGTCGCGTCAAAAAAGTTCAGAGAGTGTCATATTCCAGAAGCAAACCACGCGGCCGCGTCCCACTTCATGAAGCCCGCATCCCTCTCCATGCGGCCACACTCTATGGTCACGCAGTCCGCGTCCAAGAAGTTCAGAGAAGCTACCAAACTATTCATGCGGCCACACAACAACTTTGTGCGGTCCGCGCCAGTCTTCATACGACCGCATTCCAACTTTGTGTGGTCCGTATCACCATCTTCAGAGAGCAAGATTCAGAGGTCAAGCAACCCAGTGCGGCCGCGTGCCAACTTTGTGAGGTCCGCACTAACCCCGCAGGGGTATTTTTGTCCAGTTTTTTCAGCCCACTATAAATAGAACATTTTACCATTTTTAGGTCAAGTTGGGTACATCTGATAGCTGCTACATTTTTGGCCTATCTTGGGCATTTTTAGCTTAGTTTCATTATAGATTATTGTAGTTTAACATTAGCAATTAATTAATATGGTTGTTTCATCTTCTATTTCTTCATTTTCTTCTTTAATTATGTCTAGCTAAACCCATTAGCTAGGGTTGTGGCTCAACCCTAGTGTGGGTAATTAATGGGTGTAGCTTCTTAATGATAGATTGATATTGGGTGTTTGTTATTTGGGTTAATTTTATGGTTTAATTAAGGATTGTTGGTTGCAAACATTGATTCTAGCTTAGTGGGTCTTGACTCTTCTTGAGAAAGAGAGTCTATGACCCCAAAATTGACCCAACAAGGAATTGGGGTGGACCCATGAGAAATGGTAGTCCCAATTAACGGGTTAAACCTCGAGAGAGTAATCACCCTACTTGAACCCAAGTTGCTTGGTCTAATTGGCCTACCCAATTGGTCTCGAGAGAGTCAATTGGGCAAATTCGCTCTCCCTACCGAGAGGTGTGAGAGTGGGTACAATTGTGCAACGGTTATAACATTGATCCCAAATATGTCAATCTATTATTAGTAGTCTCTACCCGTTAGTTAACCACCTAGGTGATGCCACGACCCTAGTGCCTTTCTCTATATTAATCACAACTTAGAACATCTCCCTTTAGCATAATTTATCTTAAATTTGTAGTTGATAATAGTAGTTATTAAACAAAAAAAAATCCAAAAACTTTTAGAAGTACAATTAGGAGCAAGCACGCATTCCTAGTCTGAACAAATACGCAAATCCATCCCAAACTCCCTGTGGAAATTGACCCCGATACCACTATTCGGGTAAAAGTCTTAGCGCCCGCTCTTCCTACTGTTGTGTGAGGTTGAGTTTGCTGCGATCAGTGGCTACCCAACCAGAGGAGAATCAATTCAAACAAGAAAGGAATTAGTTCGAAAGAGGAAAAGAGGATATTCATATGATAAAACATGCTCGGTGTAACAACACTTACGTCTCATATTCCATTCCTCAGGGAATGACATCTTCTCGGCAGGGATGAGGTCCGAAGTCGTGACTCAAACGAAGTGGCTCATCCACCTCAGGTCTTTATCTTCGTCGATGCTGGAAAAAAATGCTTTGGTAGACCAGCATCTCAGTTTGACCAGGCCCCCTCGATAGAAGCGAGGGCTATACAATCTAATCATATGGTCGAGGGTGAAATCCATCCCCTTGACCATGTTCGAGAAATATCTAATCAAATAGATGATTCTCCAAAAAGAGGGATAAATCTGACCAAACGTCACTCGATATTGTCGACAAAAATCGAGGATCACCGGGTCTATCGATGGAGAGGAATAATCTACAAGACCTAGGGTAAAGGGATACGTATATATACTGAGGAAATCAGCTTTGTGTTTAGTTACATCCTCTTCCGATGAAGGGATCTCTACTTGTACCGCCTCTCCCCAGCGGCAATCCATTTTCACCTTCTCTGTGTCGGTTATTAAATTGATGTATCGAGACATGGGCTCATATCGGCCCGGTACCGAAGAAGGTTTTTCAACTTTGAGATTGGAGGATATATAGAAGGGCTCAGGAACGCACTCCTCAACGCTAGGAGGCACTACCTTTTTGCTCTTAGACGAGCGTGATGAAGAAGGGGCTTCCCCTTTTTGAGGTACTGTCTTGGATATTTTGGCCATGGTTATAACACAAAGTTTCAAAGAAGTGAACACAGAAGAAGGGTAAAGACATGAAGCTATTAATGAAAGATTTGAAGATCTGAAGATGCTGCAAAGGTTTGAAAGATAGGGATTTGGAGTATTTATAAGTTATCTAAGTGAATTGGAGGAGTTGAAAGGGCGGCCAATAGCGGTTCGTGGGCTTCTCGAGAACCGTGTCTGATAAGACCTCTGTACGACTTTTCCATTACGCCATTTAATGATCACAGGTGGCTGACGTCACAACGGGGGTATTGAAGAGGCAAGAACTCAAAATCGTTTCTTATCATTTCATTCTAAGAAATGCGAGGACTATCTGTATGGGGCCAAAATCGGGGAGTCCGACTTTGGGGCTATCATGGCACTCCACGCTCAACCTCGAGGAGCTCGAAGCAGAATTTGAAGTGTGACCCCGAGGTGCATCCCTCGAGGGAGCATATCGAAGGTCAATCTCGAAGCAGTACAAATCGATGATTGTCATGGAAAGGCGAGAAAGCTCCCAAGTACACGTGGCTAGAGCTGACCAAGTCTGCAAGAATAGTACAAATTCGTACTAAGCCATTATACAGCTGTACCAATAGCATCTCCTCACTATTATTAGACATGTACTACGTTGGGATACCCCTCCTATATAAAGGGGACCCTTGTCACTTTGTAACACATATGAATATTGAATACAATAGAACAATCTCTGCTCTTCTTGTTAAAACATGCTCAATAATTATTCTACAACTTTATTGCTCCTCATTTATTGTGTTCATTTATTGTTCATCATTTATTCATTTATTGTTTGCTTATTGTTCATTATCAACCATTAAAGGCTGCCCTCGAAGTCCTATTTCGCCGAGCTCGAGGCCCTCAACCTTGTGACCACACGGGCTTGCTTATCACTTCTTGCTCATTTACACATAACATTATTCACCTAACAACTAATATTAAGATAAATCACATATTTTTAAAACCACAAATAAAATATAATTATTATCACCATTTTCAAGGTAAACATGAAAGATTTTTAAGCCATGAAACGGTTTATTTTGGCTAAAAAATTACTGAAGTACTAGTTGGTCAGACGTGTAACAGTCAAAAGGACCACTATTGGAAAAATACCGCGAGTGCAAAAGTTAAACTCGTACTCGAGGGGCGTGTACGATGGTGAATAATTTGGCATCCATATTAAATTTTAAAAATAAAAGGATTTTTAGATGAGTTTGATTATTACATTAACGGTGCAGAAGTTTAATGTAATCTCCAAAATAATTAATGAATTTTGTAAATTTAAATTAAGACAAACTATACACTACTACGACGAGTAGTGTATAACAAAAAATGGCATGAGAACATAAAAACAATTTAAACTGGTAAAAAAAAGTTAATTGAACTGTGCCACTTAAAGGATTAACAAAAAATGAAAGAGTAAACAGGGAGGTAGTTAGTTTCAGTTGCTATTCAACGTTTGCTGTGTACAACAAACAGAACAAAAGACAGTATCTAGACAGTAAGTCGAGGAAAAAAAGCACTAGGAGCATCTACACAATCTCCTCCACCAAAATAGTAAGAAAGAAAACAGTCTAAACCATCTGACCAGCAAGTGTTATAATACTAATACTAGAGGAGAATGAAGCATCAAAAGTTTCAGCTTCCGGTATCGACTAACTGAGTAAGATGAACAAGATGATGACTGAGAGCCATTAGTGTGAGCACATTTAGAAAAGATGAATATGAATTCAACTTCTTTAGTTTCTGACTCAATCTGACCACTTGAGGCTTCACCACTGCTTCTACCTCTGGAGAGACTTCTGCAGGTTTACTGGTTGTTGTTGTTGCTGCTGCTGTCTTCTGACTAGTTGTCTTTGTACCTGTTGGATCCAACACTGAATCCACTCCTCTACTGTTTGGTTCAACATTAAATATGTCTCTACCTCTACCTTCTTCTTTCTCCAACTTCAATCTCTCAAACATAACCTGCAATAGCCCGTACCACATCAAGAAAAAGAATCACAAATCTAAAAACAAGATGATGTGCGATTAAGAAAATAATTCAGACTTTCCTTTTTAATCTGCTCCAACATAAATGTCATGTTGAAAACTCCCCAACTTTAAACTTTTCAAGTTCTCTTAGTAAGATGAGATAAGGTAAAGTTGTGTCGAGGGGTGGAAGGTTCGATGGTTCACTCGTATTCGAGGGTGGAAGCAACCACTAATGTTTAGTTTGCATTAGATCTAAATCATACGACTCTTCCCCGAAGCCGCAGGAACAAGAGATCAGACTGAGACAAAAAATATATATTAAAACTTAAATCCTAAACTTCCTTGATGCGAAGCTCATTATAACTAGCTTCAAAAATGTCATGGCATGTTAATTTGTGTGTACAAGTTCTGAAAAATTGTTACGTGTCAAAGGTCCTCCCTTAGTCTCTTTTCCCTCTTCAAGTTTAACACCATCATATATAAAATAAAACAAGGAAAAACAGAGAAGTACAGATTAAAAGGAATGATTACCTTTGTGGCTCGAGGCTCTAGGTAGACCAAATTGACCAAAAGCATAGCGATCGAAGACAGAAGATTAAAACCTTGAACCGCTTCAGCCGAATTCGTGTAAAGTCGACGTTTTTGGCTCAACATATGACCGACGAATGCTGCACCAACGCAATAAGCCATGGCCTTGAAGTAGACTGGGTAAATCTTACTCTGAACCAAAGCAAATTGCTGCCTCGGCAAAGCTCTAGCCAACACATAACTCGAAACAAACGTCACCCAAATACACATCCCATAAGCCACAGCAAAGCCTAGAAAATGCACCAAACGCATCACAGTTCGCAAATTCTCTAGCGAAAAAATATACACAAATACATCATAGAAGAATTCTCGTCCTCGCCCTAGTATATCTTTCAACTCCTTTTTCCCTTCTTCTTTAACCTTTTTTACACCTTCTTTTACTGATTCTTTCACTTGTTCTGATTTCTCCCCTAATTCTCTCTCCACTTCACCCTTTTTTCTCTTTGTTGTGTCAATTAAATCCTTTGTTTTTTCTTTAACTTCATCAACTTTCTCCTTTGCCTTATCTGTGGCTTCACTATATGCATCTTTTACACTTTCTTTCACTTTCTCAGCAGCCCCTTTTGCTCCTTCTTCAACTTCATCAACTTTATCAACCGTTTCATGTGCTTTTTCTGAAACCTTAGCTTTGGTTTTACCAAAAGCGGTAGCAATTTTTTCTTTGCACTTACCAAATGCATCACAAACTACATCTTTAGCACTAGGCTTAGTATCAATTACACCATTTTCTTGATTTACATACGGACTTGAAATTCCTTGACCAATATTTGGAAGAACAGAAGATGCTTCTTCTGCTTTTTCATATAACTTGTCTTTGAGATCAGAAACATACCCTGATTTTCCTTTTGGAATTTCAGCTTCTTGTTGTGGAGAAATTAAGACTTTTGTGCCATCTTCTTTATCAAATTCAACAACTACAACTCTAGGGCCTTCTTTTAAAATAACATCATCTTTTTTCTTGTTATTCTCTGGATTCGGATTGAAAAATCCTGCTGTAACAAGTGTGGTTAATACCAGAGAAATAGCCAAAAAATTCATCATTTCTTTTTCTCCTTTCTTTTTTATCTAGATACGAAGACAAAAGTGTTGGATAAGGAATGGAAGTTAATAGCAAGGAAATAGGAGGAATGGTTCTTTTTTATAAGGAAGTTTGAATAATTCCCACGTAGTGAGGTGGTTCAGGATTAAAAATGTATACGTGTTAGGTTGCATGCGGTTTTGGAATGCTACGTGTCCTCTTCTTGCTTTAGCTCTAATTTTTTTTTTTTTTAAAGTAATTGAGATGTAGAGATTAGCGAGACAAGATTAGTAATTGAATTAAAAATATTTGAATTTTCCACCTTCTATCTTTATTGAATTTTTCAAATTCCTATTTTACTCTTAACCTTATCAACCTTTTGTCTTTTTAAAAAAAAAAATACATTATCAATATTATTTTTTGTTTAAAAAATTTATGTTATATACTTATGTATAAAATAAATAAAAGTTTTTTTTAAATAAAAAAAAAGAGAAATGGTGATCAATCATGTATAAGTTAATGAAATTGAATAATGAAAAAAATGAGTGTTGTAAAAATGGTTTGCTTGCAACAATAAGTTTATCAATATCAATTATAACTCAAGAAATTATTTATATTGAGAATAAAAGTGAGTGAAAACATTATAAATATATACTCTATACACTTAATAACCAAAAATACTAAAAATAGAAGAATATTTTAGAATAAATTTTCAAAAGCTAAAAGTTACATATTCTTTTTTAAAATTATAATTTAAAAAATATTTTATTAAGTGAAAAAATTTCAAAAATCTATATACATAATAGAGAAAAAAGTACAAAGTGAAACTTAAATATAAGCCAAAATCCTAAATAGCCCCTTAAACTTGGCATGTTTTGTAAAATAAACATACAAACTTATGGGATGACCATATAGACATTTGAACTCGTCCAAAGTGTAATTTTTAAACACCTCTGTTTATTAGACATTGTGAGTGAGGTCCAAACGCTACTTACATGGTAATGAACGAATAATATGTTAACACGTGTATTTTCTTTTTCATGTAAGCAAATAATAGTCTAAAGCCAAATAATACCTCTCATTTGTTCATCTTCTCTCTCTTCGCTTTCTTAGAGCCAACTCCCATCCCATTCCCTATCTAATTTATATCATAGTTCTTTTAATTCTAAAGTTAAACTTTATCAAAACTTCAGCAAAATTAAGAGGAAATCATGTAATGTGGAGATTTTATTTTATGATGGGAAATCATCGTCAACTTGTTTGGAGAAGGGAGGTAACGAGTTAGAGAGGAAAATATTTGGAAGCCTTTTTTTGTAGAGATGTAGAAGAAAACACATAAAATGACCTCTGATTTTTTTTTTGTTGGCTTCAATGGTGTTTTCAGCTCTGGAAAAGAGGAATATTAGGGGCTAGTGCTTTTTTAATCGCTGGGAAAAAGAAGTATTGGCTAAGGGTTATGTAAAGAGGGGTTTTTTACTGTTAATTTGTTTTGAGTCAACAACTTTAAAATAGCTATCACGTGCTCATCAGTAAATATACAACATACGGTATGCAAGATTGGGCAAAGGTGTTTAAAAATTACACTTTGGATAAGTTCATGTGTCTATCTGGTCACCCTATAAGTTTATATGTTTATTTTACAAAACGTGTCAAGTTTAAGGGGTTATCAAAGATTTTGGCCTTAAATATACGACTTAATACACATAACATTACAATAATATTTTTTAAAAGTAACAATATATAAATTTTGGAACAAACTTATAAAAGAATTGTTCTAGTTGTAATTTAATGAGCATAAATTATAAAATTTATAATACGACATAACATAACTTAAGTTGTAAGTAAAATACCCAGGTAAGAATAATAAATCTCATATGATATTAAAAATATTATAACATAGAGAGGAATTGAAAATGTCAAGGAAAAATAGACATTGCATATAATAAGAGGAGGTGAATGTTTAGTATTTGAAGTTGGAGGAGGAGTTTGATTTTAAAAAATAAGCTGAGGGAGAAAAATCTTTCACCCTATTTTAATTAAAATTTGCAATTATATTTAATTAAAAATATTTCGTCTTTTATTTGAGATTTGGTGATTTACGAGAAAAAAGGATTGGAAACATAATGAAGAGATGAAGGAGGAGACGAACACAACGTTCTAATAGTTAATTTCCCTTTTCGATCTGAAAAGGGGTTATTTAGTAAATAAATATTATTGATAGGGATATTTTATTTTAAAAAAATTAAAGTTGTAGTTATTTTTAAATTACATAGGTTGTACTGGGCTACGGTATAATTTTAAAACATTAGGCAAATAAAGTATTTTAAATATATATTATGAGAAATATTGATTTATTTCAGTGTCTCAGAAATGGGCCAAAAAATAAAGTGTAAGATAAAGACATGTTAAATTAAGGAGGGATAGTGTGATAATAAATATTTTTCTAATTGTCTTGAATTTCTTTTTCTATTTTTGTTTTCCAAGAAGTAATTAAAAATTTTGTATAGAAAAGCTTCTTCTGCGGCTCAGAATAATTTAATTTTTCCTAGAAGCTTAACCTAACAATTTAATTCATAAAATAAATATTTAAAAAAATAGTAAGCACTACTAATTTCTGGAAGCTTGAGAATAGGGTAAAATTCATTCGAAGAAGCGCTGTTATCAGTGCAAAAGATAGTATGTGTTTCATTAATTTTTTACTAATAGTGTCACAACCCAAATTCCACATCAGGATGTGATGGTGCCAAATACCGTTGTTAGGCAAGCCAACACTAATGACCAGTAAATCCTTATTTAAATAATTAGCACGTGAAAACCTTTCCTTACTAATAAAGAAATTAGGAATTTGATACTTCAGCATAATTAGATGAAAGTAATAATTACGAACTTCATTCATGATAGTAATCCAAAAATCACAAGTCTACCGATATGTGTGCCAGGACCTGGTGTCATAAGTATGTGGGCAATCTAGTAGAATATACAAAACCATACTATCCTACTGTCTAGAAAGGAAAAGACAGGAAAAGTAAAGACATAGAAAGACTCCAGCTGCTGCAGAACGGCTTAGAAGGGCAGCTCACTGGAAGTCTCAAGCTAAGGAGTCTACTCTACGTACCAGATTGATGGCCAGATGCATTTGCCTCAAAGCCCGTACAATCAAGTATAGAAGCATAGTATGAGTACATAAACAATATGTACCCAGTAAGTATCCAGTCTAACCTCGAAGAAGTAGTGACGAGGGGTCGACTTGACACTTACTAGAGTCAATAAATATAATGATATGAAGTTCAATATTTTAAGTCACAATGTACGTAGATAACCACAATCTCAAACAAGAATGATACTAAAAATCCTTTCATCAAATCAATAAATTTAGACACCTTCTTCATTTAAAACAAGTGGCCTTTCAAATAATGAATCATACGAATTATAAGGTTTCTGGTTCTATTATCACACACAAATACCACCGAGGACGTTCGGCCCGATTCAACATAAAAGCAAACTGTGCACCGTCGAGGGTCAAACGGCCCGAACCAAATATACATTTATTAATCTGCTGAGGCGAACGACCCGCTCCCATAAGAGTAGGGGAAATAATCATCCTGCTTGCGAAATATACTTGCGACGCGGTTAAGTATAAATATAACTTAATGCTTTCTCAATTCTTTTCAAAATAAATATTTACTTGAAATCCTTGAAATTATGACATTCTCAACTTAGTTTCATTCAATGCAATTCAACAATCATAATCATACAACGGTACTCACAAAACATGGTGTAAGCCTAGAACTACCCGGACATCACAAGAATAGTAGCTACAAACAGACTCTCGTCACTTTGTGCGCACGTAGCCCCCATAATTAATCATATATTAATTAAGTTCACCTATGGAAAAATTTCCCTCTTACAAGGTTAGAAAAGAGACTTACCTCGTTTCAAGCCTATTTCCAACTCAAGAATGCGCTCAAACCCTCAAACCGGAGCCGCACAATCTAAAATTATTCAAATAGTGTAAAAACCATTTATTATAGGCTTACAAGTTCAAAATCTAGCTATTAAAGTGATTATCCAACCCCAAAGGCAAGATTCCTAAAATTCATCCCCGGGCCCATGTACCCGGATTTCGGAAATTTTCGAAGAAAGTTGTTACCCATAACCTAAGGATCAAGAATATATGATTCTTACTTCATTCCATAACGAATTTCGTGGTTAAATCTTGTTTTTATCAAAACCCTAAGTTTTAATCTAAACCCATAATTTCCACTAATTTACATGTTGTAATCTACCCATAAGCTATGTATTAAACTCACATTAAGTAGAAATAACATACCTCACAAAGCTAGGTTGAAATCTCCCCTTTTGAAGCTCTCAAATCGCCTAAGGATGGAGTAAAATGTGTCAAATATGACAAACTCCCGTTATTTATTGAAGGCCACTACCTTCAGCAGTTTCCGCATCTACGGTCCAATGCCGCACCTACGCCAACCGCTTCTGCGAAAAATGGGCCGCTTCTGCGGTCCTGGGCTGGACCTGCTGGATCGCTTCTACGGAAGACCAACCGCTCCTGCGGTTCCGCATCTGCGGTTAGGGGGCCGCTTCTGCGGTTCCTGGGCTGGCCACCCATGGCCGCATCTGCGATGTCTTAGCCAATTCTGCGGTCTCGCACCTGCGGCTGGCCAACCGCAGGTGCGGTTTATGACAGAAGCCTAGAGCTTCAGCTCCTTCTCAAATTTTCAACTAAGCTCGAGCCTTGTTCGGTTGACGCTCGGGGCCCCTAGGGCCCCACCCAAACATACCGACAAGTTTGGAATGATAAAACGGACTCGCTCGAACCCTTGCAACACCGGAAACAACATTAAAACTAGGAATCACATCCTAAAACCAATTGATTCAAACTTATGAACTTCAAGTTCTTCAGTTTACTTCCAATGTGATGAAACACACTTATACTATCCGGATTGATAACAAATTTTGCGTGCAAGTCTTAAATGATATTATGGAAGTATTCTCGGTCTCGGAATTCTGTTCGGACCTCGATATCATAAAAATCCGCTCCAAACCAAATTTAAAGAACTTCAA